CAAAATTATCTGTTCCTCGAAAATTTAAGACGATCTCCCGATATTTATTGTTAATGGTAAGTATCGCATAAGCGTCATTTTCCTCTAAGAAAATATTATATTCAATTTAATTATCTTGCATTATGCCTTATAAACTGCTTCACAGGGTTACAACGACCATTGAGTTAATGGACATATTTACTAAACCAGATTTTTGGGCCATTGGCTAACCCTGACTGCTTCATTATTTACCTCCTAAAATTTTTACCCATTCGTCAGGGTGAGTTCTAAAAGCCTTTACAACAGTTGTTTGAGGAATGTTATCACAATATTGTCCGCATTTCCAATTATCTGAGTTTTGACAATAAGAAGCTGACGAATAAGTAACAAATCGAATGAGATTTTGTATTTCCGCATCATCAAGCCTACTAATTCCATTTGATTCCGATGGTTCTGGTGCTTTATACGATTTACTAGGATCTTCTAAAATACTGATCGGCAAAGGATTGGTATTAACTAAAGTTAATATACAAATGAATAGCAAAAATGTAAAATGACAAGAATTCATAATCACAGTGGGTTGTTTGTTGTTATACTGAAATTTCTCTCGTATTTAAAGTATAAATACTTATGAAAACAAATGTTTCAAAGCTTTTATGGATTTCATTGTTTTTTTCATTCCGCATGCTATTAATTACATGCATGCTGTAATATAATGTAAATGCTGGAAACCTTTATAACTTGTATCTATGTACACGAATATTGATTGCAGGTAGCGAACCAGTATCGGACAATTGCTTTTTTTACTATTTATGGACGTACAATGTCTAACACACAGGAATACGTAGTTAAATCGTGATAATTAATACATTATGTAATTGAATTACACAAAAGGCATTGAATTTCTTTGAAAACATATTACGACATGACCGTTACGCCTGCAAGCAATCACGCATGTGCTTGGTGTGCCAAAATTCGTGTTTCATCATTAATAAACCCAAGATCAGGGCTAAAACGATACATAGTAAATGCCTGCCATTCAATAAGTGTCATTATTGATTCACATTATATTATAATTTTG